GAACACGGGGAGTCGGGGAGAGAGGGAGCACTCCCTGGGAACACGGGGAGTCTGGGAGAGAGGGAGCACTCCCTAGGGAACACGGGGAGTCGGGGAGGGAGCACTCCCTGGGGAACACGGGGAGTCGGGGAGGGAGGGAGCACTCCCTGGGGATGAGGGGAGTCAGGGAGGAAGGGAGCACTCCCTGGGAGCACGAAGAGTCAGAAAGAGAGGGAGCACTCCCTGAGAACACGGGGAGTCGGGGAGAGAGGGAGCACTCCCTGGGAACACGGGGAGTCGGGGAGAGAGAGCACTCCCTGGGAACACGGAGAGTCAGAAAGAGAGGGAGCACTCCCTGAGAACACGGGGAGTCGGGGAGAGAGAGCACTCCCTGGGAGCACGAAGAGTCAGAAAGAGAGGGAGCACTCCCTGGGAACACGGGGAGTCGGGGAGGGAGGGAGCACTCCCTGGGAGCATGAAGAGTCAGGGAAGGAGGGAGCACTCCCTGAGAACACGGGGAGTCTGGGAGAGAGGGAGCACTCCCTGGGGATGAGGGGAGTCGGGGAGGGAGGAGCACTCCCTGGGGAACACGAGGAGTCGGGGAGAGAGGGAGCACTCCCTGGGGAACACGGGGAGTCAGGGAGCACTCCCTGGGGATGAGGGGAGTCAGGGAGGGAGGGAGCACTCCCTGGGAGCACGAAGAGTCAGGGAAAGAGGGAGCACTCCCTGAGAACACGGGAGTTGGGGAGAGAGGGAGCACTCCCTGGGGATGAGGAGAGTCGGGGAGGGAGGGAGCACTCCCTGGGAGCACGAAGAGTCAGGGAAGGAGGGAGCACTCCCTGGGAACACGGAGAGTCAGGGAGGGAGGAGCACTCCCTGCGAGTCGGGGAGAGAGGGAGCACTCCCTGGGAACACGGGGATTCGGGGAGGGAGGGAGCACTCCCTGGGGATGAGGGGAGAGAGGGAGCACTCCCTGGGAGTCGTGAAGAGAGGGAGCACTCCCTGGGAACACAGAGAGTCGGGGAGAGAGGGAGCACTCCCTGGGAGTCGGGGAGAGAGGGAGCACTCCCTGGGAGTCGGGGAGGGAGGGAGCACTCCCTGGGAGTCGTGGAGAGAGGGAGCACTCCCTAGGAGTCGGGGAGAGAGGGAGCACTCCCTGGGAGTCAGGGAGAGAGGGAGCACTCCCTGGGAACACGGGGAGTCAGGGAGGGAGGGAGCACTCCCTGGGAGTCGGGGAGGGAGGGAGCACTCCCGGGAGACGAGGGAGGCAGGGGCGAGGCCGGGAGCACGCGTGGCCTCTCCCCCCAGCCTCCCAGGCCCCCGTACCCCGAGACCCTCACGCGGGAGGTCGCCCCTGTCTCTCTCTCTCTCTCTCTCTGGCCTCCGCCCCGGTGGCCTCGGCGAGTGACATTGGTCCCCCAGCCTTCGTCCCCGGCCTCCGTTTCTCCCCCTCCCTCCCGGGACTCCGCGCCCCGGGCGCCCCTACCTTGAAGGTGGTGGCCGACTCCGGGCTGGCCAGGACGAGGGGCGAGATGAGGACCATCCCCGAGAAGAGGCCGGGCCTCTCGGCCGCGGTGAGGATGGCGATGGCTCCTCCCTGCCACAGGGGAAAAAAAAAAAAAAACGCTCGTTTCCGAGCTCGGACGGCCGAGGCTACCGAGGTCGAGGCCGAGCGAATCGAGGTCGAGGCCGAGCGAATCGAGGAGGCCGCCTGGGAGAATCGAGTGACCCCGGCTCCCAGGAGGGACAGAACCGTCTGCGGCTGTGTCGTACCTTTGTTTGTTTGAGGCAGAGTCTCGCTCGGTGACGTGGCCTCGGCCTCGCTCGTGGCAGCCTCCAGCGGGCCTCCTGCCTCGGCCTCCATCCCGAGGAGCTGGGACGGGACAGGCAGGCGCCACCACGCCCGGCTCATTTTTTTTTTTCCTTCTATATATTGTTAGTTGTCCAGCTCATTTCTTTCTATTTTTTTAGTAGAGACGGGGTCTCGCTCTTGCTCAGGCTGGCCTCCAACTCCTGGCCTCGAGCGAGCCTCCTGCCTCGGCCTCCCAGAGTGCTGGGATGACAGGCGTGAGCCCCCGCCGCCACGCCCGTACGCTTCTGGATCTTTCTAAACCAAGTCACCTCTGACCCAGCGGGGCGCCCTGTGCTCTGGTCCCGGGTCTCCCTCCCTCCCCGGGGACAAGAACCCTGGGATCACCCGGCCTCAACCACCGGGGATGCTGAGGAGGCCACGGCTGCCTCCACATTTAGACGGCCAAGTAGTGGCCCATCCCGGGTGGGAGGGAGCACTCCCTGGGGATGAGGGGAGTCGGGGAGGGAGGGAGCACTCCCTGGGAGCACAGGGAGTTGGGGAGGGAGGGAGCACTCCCTGGGAGCACGGGGAGTCGGGGAGGGAGGAGCACTCCCTGGGAGCACGGGGCGTTGGGGAGGGAGGGAGCACTCCCTGGGAGCACGGGGAGTCGGGGAGGGAGGGAGCACTCCCTGGGGATGAGGAGAGTCGGGGAGGGAGCACTCCCTGGAAACACGGGGAGTCGGGGAGGGAGGGAGCACTCCCTGGGGATGAGGGGAGTCTGGGAGGGAGCACTCCCTGGGGATGAGGGGAGTCTGGGAGGGAGCACTCCCTGGGGATGAGGGGAGTCGGGGAGGGAGGGAGCACTCCCTGGGGATGAGGGGAGTCGGGGAGGGAGCACTCCCTGGGGATGAGGGGAGTCTGGGAGGGAGCACTCCCTGGGGATGAGGGGAGTCGGGGAGGGAGCACTCCCTGGGAACACGGGGAGTCGGGGAGGGAGGGAGCACTCCCTGGGGATGAGGGGAGTCGGGGAGGGAGCACTCCCTGGGAACACGGAGAGTCGGGAGGGAGGGAGCACTCACTGGGGATGAGGGGAGTCGGGGAGGGAGCACTCCCTGGGAACACGGAGAGTCTGGGAGGGAGCACTCCCTGGGAATGAGGGGAGTTGGGGAGGGAGCACTCCCTGGGAAAACGAGGAGTCAGGGAGGGAGGGAGCACTCCTTGGGAGCACGGGGAGTCGGGGAGAGAGGGAGCACTCCCTGGGGAACACGGGGAGTCGGGGAGGGAGGGAGCACTCCCTGGGAACATGAGGAGTTGGGGAGGGAGGGAGCACTCCCTGGGAACACGAGGAGTTGGGGAGGGAGGGAGCACTCCCTGGGAACACGGGGAGTCGGGGAGAGAGGGAGCACTCCCTGGGGATGAGGGGAGTCGGGGAGAGAGGGAGCACTCCCTGGGGAACACGGAGAGTCCGGGAGAGAGGGAGCACTCCCTGGGAGTCGTGAAGAGAGGGAGCACTCCCTGGGAGCACGGGGAGTCCGGGAGAGAGGGAGCACTCCCTGGGAGTCGTGAAGAGAGGGAGCACTCCCTGGGAACACAGAGAGTCGGGGAGAGAGGGAGCACTCCCTAGGAACACGGGGAGTCAGGGAGCAAGGGAGCACTCCCTGGGAGTCGGGGAGGGAGGGAGCACTCCCTGGGAGTCGGGGAGAGAGGGAGCACTCCCTGGGAGTCACAGGGAGGGAGGGAGCACTCCCGGGGGACGAGGGAGGCAGGGGCGAGGCCGGGAGCACGCGTGGCCTCTCCCCCCAGCCTCCCAGGCCCCCCTACCCCGAGACCCTCACGAGGGAGGTCGCCCCTGTCTCTCTCTCTCTCTCTCTCTCTGGCCTCCGCCCCGGTGGCCTCGACGAGTGACATTGGTCCCCCAGCCTTCGTCCCCGGCCTCCGTTTCTCCCCCTCCCTCCCCGGACTCCGCGCCCCGGGCGCCCCTACCTTGAAGGTGGTGGCCGACTCCGGGCTGGCCAGGACCAGGGGCGAGATGAGGACCATCCCCGAGAAGAGGCCGGGCCTCTCGGCCGCGGTGAGGATGGCGATGGCTCCTCCCTGCCACAGGGGGAGAAAAAAAAAAACGCTCGTTTCCGAGCTCGGACGGCCGAGGCTACCGAGGTCGAGGCCGAGCGAATCGAGGTAGAGGCCGAGCAAATCGAGGAGGCCGCCTTGAGAATCGAGTGGCCCCGGCTCCCAGGAGGGACAGAACCGTCTGCGGCTGTGTCGTTCCTTTGTTTGTTTGAGGCGGAGTCTCGCTCGGTGACGTGGCCTCGGCCTCGCTAGTGGCAGCCTCCAGCGGGCCTCCTGCCTCGGCCTCCATCCCGAGGAGCTGGGACGGGACAGGCAGGCGCAACCACGCCCGGCTCATTTTTTTTTTTCCTTCTATATATTGTTAGTTGTCCAGCTCATTTCTTTCTATTTTTTTAGTAGAGACGGGGTCTCGCTCTTGCTCAGGCTGGCCTCCAACTCCTGACCTCCAGTGATCCTCCAGCCTCGGCCTCCCTCCCGAGTAACTGGGACGACAGGCGTGAGCCACCACGCCCGGCTCATTTTTTCTATATATTTTTAGTTGTCCAGTATATTTCTTTCTATATATATTTTTTTTCTTAGTAGAGACGGGGTCTCGCTCTTGCTCAGGCTGGCCTCCAACTCCTGACCTCGAGCGAGCCTCCTGCCTCGGCCTCCCTGAGTACCTGGGACGACAGGCATGCGTCACCACGCCCGGCTAATATTTTCTATATATTTTTAGTTGTCCAGCTTATTTCTATTTTTTTAGTAGAGATGGGGTCTCGCTCTTGCTCAGGCTGGCCTCCAACTCCTGACCTCGAGCAATCCTCCCGCCTCGGCCTCCCAGAGTGCTGGGATGACAGGCGTGAGCCTCCGCGCCCAGCCAAGATTTTTCCTTTTTTCTTTGTTTTTATGGTGAAAGGTCGACTGATCCTAATACCAGGTTGCTACCCTTTTTTCATGGTTCAATAAAAATCCCAGAAATCTCAATTTTAGAGGCTTGATCTCTCATCTTTTTCTTGGCCTCGCCACCCCCCTAAAAAATTGCTTTTGAGAGGGCCTGGTGAGTCTGCGTACAAATGATAAAAAATCAATATAGTCCAGCAGGCCGGGCGCGGTGGCGCATGCCTGTCGTCCCAGCTACTCGGGAGGGAGCTGAGGCGGAGAGGATCGCTCGAGGTCAGGAGTTGGAGCCAGCCTGAGCAAGCGCCGAGACCCCGTCTTAGCTTAAAAAAATAAAAGAAGAAATGAGCTGGAAAACTAAAAATATAGAAAAAAAAAAAAGAAACGAGCCGGCGTGGTGCGCATCCTGTCCAGTCCCAGCTACTCGGGAGGGAGGCCGAGGCAGGAGGATCGCTCGAGGTCAGGAATTGGAGGCCACCCTGAGCCCAAGAGCGAGACCCCGTCTCTACTAAAAAAAAAAATAAGAAAGAAATGAGCTGGACAACTAAAAATATATATAAAAATAAAAAACGAGCCGGGCGTGGAGGCGCACGCCTGTCGTCCCAGCTCCTCGGGAGGGAGGCCGAGGCAGGAGGCTCGCTCGAGGCTGCTGTGAGCGAGGCCGGCGCCTCGGCGCTCGCTCCAGCCCGGGCGACCGAGCGAGACTCAAACATAATAATATACGACAACAACTTAATAATAATAATGAAAAGACGGGTAATCGTCAAGGTGGATTCCCAGAGGCCCCCGGGGTGGGAGTCGAGGCCGGATTCGAACCCGGGTCCTCCGCGCCCCGCTTACCATGGAGTGGCCCAGGAGGAAGACGGGGAGCCCGGGGTGGTCCCTCTGCACGGCGTCCACGTGTTGCAGGACGTCCCTGACGAAGACGTGGAAGTCGGACACCACCATCCTGTCCCCTCCGCTCTGGCCGTGGCCGACTGGGGAGGGAAGGGGGAGGAGAGGGGACAAGAGGGGGGCGGCCGTCACCCACCGGGGCGACACGTTCCCGTCCCCTTCCCCGCCCACAACCCCGGACACGCGGCTCTTTCAATCCTCCTGCTTTTTTGTTATTGTTATTGTTGTTTTTTTAACGGATCTGGAAATGCAGGCTCAGAGTGGTTGAGACGCTTCCCGGAGGTCACACAGCATTTTCTCGCGGGAGGCCCAGAGCGTTTCGTGTGGGTTTTGTTTTTTGATTTTTTTTTTTCTGGCTCCTGGACACAGTGCTCACCGCGGGGTTATCAAGGATTTTTCTACCCCCCAACACCCCAAGGTCGAGGGAAAAGTTTTCCGTCTCTTCCCTCCTCCTCTTCCCCGTGCACGGACTAAAACAAGCCAGAAAACGGAACCGAATGATCTTCTCGAAAGGACGCAGAGACCGGGATAGGTCGCCGTCTGTCCCTCTGGGTTTTTTGTTTGTTTGTTTGTTTATTTGTTTTTTGGTTGTTTTTGTCTGTTGGTTTTTGTTGTTTTGTTTGTGTTTTTTTGTTGTTTTTGTATGTTTGGTTTTTTGTTGTTTTTGTTTGTTTGTTTGTTGTTTTTGTTTGTTTAATTTTTTGTTGTTTTTGTTTGTTTGGTTTTTTTGTTGTTTTGTTTCTGTTCTTTTTGTTGTTTTTGCTTGTTTGGTTTTTTGTTGTTTTTATTTGTTTGTTTTGTTGTTTTTGTTTGGTTTTTTTGTTGTTTTTGTTTGTTTGCTTTTTTGTTGTTTTGTTTGTTTGTTTTTCTGTTTTTGTTTGTTTTTGTTGTTTTTGTTTGTTGTTGTTGTTTTGTTTGTTGTTTTTGTTTGTTTTTTGTTGTTGTTTTTGTTCACTTGGGTTTTTGTTGTTTTTGTTTGGTTGGTTTTTTTGTTGTTGTTTTTGCTTGTTTGGTTTTTTTGTTGTTGTTTTAGTTTGTTGTGTTTTTTTTTTACTCTGTCACCAATCTTTTTGGCGCTCGTTTTTGTCCCTCTCTGTCCCCTTCTTGGGGTCCCCTCCCCGGAGGACACAGGTCGCTGTAGAAACAAAGAGAAGGGCAGGCGGTGTTTTCCAGAATGGGCTGTCCCACCAAAGACACGCGCTCGAGTCCGTCCCCCGTCACGAAAAAACGTGTCTTTTCCCGCCCAAACGAAAATCGAGGCTGAGCCGAGCGGCAGGGACAACACCTGCCCTGAGAACTCGTTTTTGAGGCTGGGGTGACAGCCGTGAGCCACCATGCCTGGCTAATTTTTTGTACATATATTGTTAGCTGTCCAGCTAATTTCTTTCTATTTTTCTTTTTAGCAGAAATGGGGGTCTCGCTCTTGCTCAGGCTGGCCTCCAACTCCTGGCCTCAGTACCGATCCTCCCTCCTCGGCCTCCCAGAGTTTCTGGGATGACAGGCACGCGCCACCACGCCCGGCTCATTTTTTTCTATAATGATTTTTCGTTGGCCAATTAATTTCTTTCTATTTTTAGTAGAAACGGGGTCTCGCTCTTGCTCAGGCCAGCCTCGAACTCCTGACCTCAATAACAATCCTCCCTCCTCGGCCTTCCAGAGTGCTGGGATCACAGGCACGAGCCCTTGCACCCGGCTAATTTTTTCTAGATATTTCTAGTTGTCCGATTAATTTCTTTCTATTTTTAGTAGAGACAGGGGTCTCGCTCTTGCTCAGGCTGGCCTCGGACTCCTGACCTCGACCGATCCTCCCGCCTCGGCCTCCCTCCCGAGTAGCTGGGACTACAGGCATGTGCCATCGTGCCCGGCTCATTTTTTTTTTCCTATATATATTTTTAGTCGTCCAGCTCATTTCTTTTCTTATTTTTTTTTAGTAGAGACGGGGGGTCTCGCTCTTGCTCAGGCTGGCCTCCAACTCCTGGCCTCAATAGCGATCCTCCCTCCTTGGCCTCCTCCCAGAGTTGCTGGGATGACAGGCCTGTGACATTTCTCTTTCGAAATCCACCCAGCACGCCAGGGACGGGGGTGGGAGGACATGAGCCAGTGGGGTTTTTGTTTTGTTTTGTTTTGTTTTTCTTTTGTTTTTCCCCAGTGGTTTTTGAAAATCCCCAAATCTTAAAGCAGCAGCGTGTGGGCTTGGACAGGCGCTAGCTGTGGGGACAGGCGGGGGACAATCTGGCCCGGACACGGGGCCACATGTTCCACGGGGGATGTCCCGTCCCTGGCCCAACCGCAGAGAGAAAAAAGGAGAAGATAAAACCCGGATCCAAGGGGTTTCACTTCCCATCAGCCTCGGCCACCCGGGGGCACCAGGGGGAACAACGGTCGCAGTGGCATTCTGCTCACGTCACCGAGACTCGGGACGGGGCGTTCGAAGACGGGGAAAGGTTTCAATGTTGGCTCACGGCTTGATAAAGGATGAGATGAGGCCGGGCGCGGAGGCTCACGCCTGTCGTCCCAGCACTCTGGGAGGCCGAGGAGGGAGGATCGCTCGAGGTCAGGAGTTGGAGGCCAGCCTGAGCAAGAGCGAGACCCTGTCTTTGCTAAAATATTAGAAAAAAATTAGCTGGATATTCAAAAATATATAGAAAAAATTAGCTGGGCGCAGTGGCTCACGCCTGTTGTCCTAGCACTCTGGGAGGCCGAGGCAGGAGGATCGCTCGAGGTCAAGAGTTGGAGGCCAGCCTGAGCAAGAGCGAGACCCCGTCTCTACTAAAAAAAATAGAAAGAAATTAATTGACCAACTAAAAATATATATATAGAGAGAAAAAAAATTAGCCAGGCTTTGTCGTGCATGCCTGTCATCCTAGCACTCTGGGAGGCCGAGGCGGGAGGCTCGCTCGAGGTCAGGAGTTGGAGGCCAGCCTGAGCAAGAGCGAGACCCCGTCTCTACTTAAAAAAAAAAATAGAAAGAAATGAGCTGGGCAAATAAAAACATATAGGAAAAAAAAAACGAGCCGGGCGTGGTGGCGCGTGCCTGTCGTCCCAGCTACTCGGGAGGAGGCCGAGGAGGAAGGATCAGTCGAGGTCAGGAGGTGGAGGCCAGCCTGAGCAAGAGCGAGACCCCGTCTCTACTAAAAAAATAGAAAAAATTAGGCAGTCAGATAAAAATGAAACAAAAAATGAGGCGGGCGTGGAGGCGCGTGCCTGTCGTCCCAGCTACTCGGGAGGGAGGAGGCTGAGGCCGGAGGCTCGCTCGAGGCCAGGAGTCGGAGGCTGCTGTGAGCGAGGCTGACGCCACGGCGCTCGCTCCAGCCCGGGCGACAGGGCGAGACTCGGTCTCAAAGAAGAACCAAAAAAAAAAAAAAGGGAAAAAGGGACAGATGAGCTCACTCCGGGTAAAAACTCCCAGCATTCGGGGTTGGCGAACTCACCAAGCCTGTGGTCGAGGCTCAAGGTCGGGGGTTTACCCAGGAATAAAGGAGGAAGAGGAGGAGGTTGGGGGGTGGCCCTGGGGTCTTGGAGGTGACTCGACCTCCCCTTCCTGACCTGTCCCTGCCCCCAACCCCAGCCCCAGTCAGGCCCGAAGCGTTCACGGGCCAAACCCACTCGGTTATTTTTATTCTTTTTCAAACAACATCTGTGAACCCTAAATTTTGCTACATTTTTTTAAAAAATCGTATCCGATATATATATATATATATATTTTTTGAGACAGAGTCTGGCTCTGTCGCCCGGGCTGGAGTGAGCGCCGTGGCGTCGGCCTCGCTCGCGGCAGCCTCCGGTTCCTGGCCTCCAGCGAGCCTCCCGCCTCGGCCTCCCTCCCTCCCGAGGAGCTGGGACTACAGGCGTGCGCCTCCACGCCCGGATAATTTGTTTTTTTCCTATATATTTTTAATTGTCCAGCTCATTTCTTTTCATTTTCAGTAGAGACGGGGGTCTCGCTCTTGCTCAGGCTGGCCTCCGACTCCTGGCCTCCAACAATCCTCCTGCCTCGGCCTCCCTCCCTCCCGAGTAGCTGGGACGACAGGCGTGCGCCACCACGCCCGGCTCGTTTTTTTTTCTATATATTTTTAGTTGTCCAGCTCATTTCTTTCTATTTTTTCTTTTAGTGGAGACGGGGTTTTTTGCTCTTGCTCAGGCTGGCCTCCGACTCCTGGCCTCCAACAATCCTCCTGCCTCGGCCTCCCTCCCGAGTAGCTGGGACGACAGGCGCGCGCCACCACGCCCGGCTACATTTTTTTCTATATATTTTTTAATCAGGCGATTAATTTTCTATTTTTAGTAGAGACGGGGTCTCGCTCTTGCTCACCCTGGCCTCTACCTCCCGGCCTCCAGCGATCCTCCCTCCTCGGCCTCCCTCCCGAGTAGCTGGGACGACAGGCAGGCGCCACCACGCCCGGCTAATGGGTTATTTGGGTTATTTTTATCCCCGTATTTACTCAGGCAAGGAACAGGGGCTGACACACTTTGCAAACATTCCAGGCACGAGCAGGCAGGACTGGGACTGGCTCCCGGCCGGTCTATTTTGGGATCCGCCTGCCGGCGCCTGAGTCACAGCTAGGGAAGAAAAACACACAGAGATGCATGGGGTTTGGGGCTTATTATTTTTTTTTTTTCCTCCCTCCCTCCCCTGAATTTCCTAAATATACCGTTCTGACTCAGTGGGATCCTGCCAGCAAAGAAAAAAAAAAAAAAGAAAGAAAGAAAGAGAATCACACGGAACTGTCGCCCACAGACAA